ATCGTGAACTAGCGAGCGACTTGATCCGCTTTATAATGTAACGGTTTAATTAATTATGTTAAGCTACAGCCGCCGCTCAGCCAGGGGCAACGTGCAACATGCCGCAGACACAGTTGTTGCCACTTCATGCGCAATTTTCGTTTGCAGCTAACCTGGCTAATCGATCAGCTGCAGCATGGCCCTTCCACAAATATATCTGTGTATGTATGTGTGTGTGTATATTCGACTAACTCCGAACTCGCTTGCCGTGCCCTTTGCCTCAGCTGTGCACGTTCCGTGGCATCCTCCATATGCACTTGCAACATGACGACATGCCCCGCGGCGTAGCCGCTTTAATAGTGCAGCAACGCCGCTGCAATATAGCCGCTCTTATCGCCAAATGTCTCGCAGTTGCTGTCGCTGTCGCTGCCGCTGTTGTTGTTGTTGTTGTTGCTGCCCAGCTACATGACTCGGACCTGAGCCGGGCCTCGAACTGGGCTTTGGCCGCGCCACTTCCCATAGAGACTTTCGGCTGCGCATAACTTCACATAGCATCAGTTAAATCAAAGCTAAATCGCTTATCTTTATTTTCGCCAAGACTCTGGCGGCCTTTTGTTGTTGCAGCAGCAGCAGCAGCAGCAGCAGCAACTGCTGTTGTTGTTCTCGTTGGCGTTGGCAACGTGCGAATTGCTCTGCATATGGTGGCATATGGGCCAAGACGCTGCCTAGACGTACCTAATGTACGCAAATTGTGGGCTAAGAAAACGGGTTTGCGTCTGCAGTTGGCTCAACAGCATAAATATCTGTGCCCAGGCCTCAAGAAGCCACAAGAATTTCTGATATAAGTACCTCCAAATGTGCCCAAATGCAAATGCTAAACATTCCATCGCCTCTCTAGGAGATTCTCATTAGCTGAGTCGATGCTGACTTTCTACCGAAATGAGTTAATGCATTCCCTTAACGTGTATCTATAGCTCATCAGCCTTATCTCAGTTCACATTAATAAGTTTCTTTTTTTTCCAATTTTAAATTCGTATCTACTCCGAAAGTAACGAGGCCAGAAACCAACTGTAACCAATTTGCAATTGACTCAGTCTGAGCAGCATTTTCATTAAGTGGAGAGTTCTTCAATTGCAGCAGCGGCAGCCGCAGTTACAGCTCTCAGCTCTCAGCTCTCAGCTTCCCACAACAATCGTTACCATTGACCTATATCGAGCTATAAACCCCGCTGGCTTATAGCAATGTCAACCCCGTATGGCATTGCCTGCTGTTACCTGTTGCCAGGTAATCAGCTGTGGGGCACCTGCACAGCAGCAGCAGCAATTGAAACTGAGCTTCCGCCTCGCGAAGTTCAAGCGCGTTCATAATCAGTGCATTTTGTAGATACTCGAAGTGCATGCAAGTTAAAACATTTTGCGGTTCGTGTCTGGGTCTGCAATTATGTTTCGGTTGTACTCCAGATACTTTGTCTAGCGTTTGCAGCGCTTTGGCTTTGCCGCCGGCTCAATCTCAGTCATCAGTTTAGCCAGACTGCCCTAGAGAGGAGAGCGTGTCGAATTGTTTTCAACTAGAAATCGCATAGTAAAACTAACAAATTTATTTATTTACGATTTACCAACACTGAAAGTATTCCACTTTCTACAATTCGTAATGCCATTAGTTCATTTGCCTACTCCATAATACTTTGATCTCGCTCGTGTCACGAGCCCACGCTCATCTCTAGCCAGCAAGTCTTGAGCCGCTGTGCTAATTACTTGAACTAGCAGCCTGCACATGTAAGCTTAACATTTAATTATTGCGACTTAATGATGGCTCTCTAGCTGTGTACTCTAGCTGTGTGTGTGTGTGTGTGTGTATTAATAATTAGAAAATGAGCCGACAATGGGGCGGCGTCTGGCCGGTGCTATCGACTCGCTGTGTGTGTGTGTGTGTTACACTTCTGCGCAACGGTGCATTGACCGACCGCCAAAACCTCTGCAATTGGCCAAAATACACTGGGGCTTGTTTTGGCAATCGAATAATGTTCGAATAGACACTCACAGTACTCGTAGCGACACTCATATGCACTCATTAACAGTTGGTCATGTGTGCTCGCTCGCTGTGGCCCAAACCAATTTCACGCTTCAAATTGAAGCGGCCAAGCGGCAAAAGTCTGCACTTTCATTTATGAGGGGAGGAGGGGAGGGGGCAGGGGCCATCAACGGGCACCCATGGCCATGGTCACGCTAGCAGTGAGCGGAGCAGTGAGGGGCTGATGGGGGTCGGTTGATATCGTGCTGTTTTCGCACACATTGCAGGAAGTTCAATTAATAGAACGAACGCTTGAGCTTAGCTGTTGTTCTTGGAAGTCTAACTGTATTGAACGCTTTATGGCGCGTAGCGCACGCGAGTAGCTACCAACACCCGCCGCTCCGCCGCCCCCCGTCCTACACCTTCGCCGCAGGCCGGCAATTAAGCCGAAGCGTAATTGAAACTACCGCAAAGTGCGCCTGGCTTATAACTAAACTGTCTGCACTTATGAGATACATTTCGAAGCCATAGCAAGGCCCGGAGAGCCAATCAGCTCTAGGGCTTCCCAGGCGGCTGGCAGTGGGGGTGGGCGGCAGACTCCTCTATACTCCACTCGAAATGACTTTTTGGGCCTTACACCTTCACAGCTTCACAACTGCATCTTCATCTGTACTCGCTGCATCTGCATCCGTATCTAAATCTGCATCTCTCTCTCTCCCTCTCTCGCTCGCTTGCTCGCTCCACCCTTTTGCGATTATTGATATAACATGATATGCCAGCATCGCCCGCCCTCCCAGCTGCCCGCTCTCTGCCTAGGCTTACGGTATCTTTTGGCTCATAGCTGAATGCTTCTGCTCGTATCTTCATCAATAACGACACGGCGCAGCTTTCGCATCGTCTGAGCTCCAGATAAAGCCGCGATATGCGCATATGGGCAGCGCCTGGTCGCCCGCCGTAGGTACCACGACCAGGCCTATGCCTGTCCGGCCCGTACCTCGCTACCTCCCTCCCTCCCGCCAAGCAGCGGCAACAACGAGAGCCACAGCCAGTCGCAAAGAGGCACAGGCAACGGTACGTTTTGTGCAGAAATCGTGACTCGGTACAATATCGTTATTCGTAGATCATATGGTGTAAAAGCTTAAGTGTGTGCATGTACATGTGTGTGTGTGTGTGTGTCTCTCTCTATAAGTGTGTGTGTGTGTGTGTGAGTATGTGTATATTTCCTAGATGCCTTTCAGTTGCATCTTGGGCTTGTCTAGCGCGGCGTGTGAGGCCAACGTTTGCCTTGCCAGCTGAGACACTGCCGCATGCCCTTCTCATATTAAATGGAGCTACTCGCAGATCCAACATATTATCGGACGATATATATATTATTATTAATATTTTGCTTACCAGTAAAAGGCATAGTATTGACACTTTTGCTATATACATATCTATGCATCTGATTCTCAATCTTAATTGTATCAAAGTTTTCCGTTTGATTTTGATATCTATTTAAGTCTCACTTTCAAGCCAATTGGTGTCTTTTCTCTTCAAAATTAAACAATCTGCTTGCCAGCTTCTCAGTCAGACCTTCAGCTCTGATCAATTCCCATTTCAATGCAGCTCAAAGCTCGTCTATAGCGCATTTGTTGAACGACTTGGACAGGCAGCTTTAGGTTGCCTGTGCCTGGGCACGTTTTAGTGCACACGATCGCAACGCAGTCGCTGCGCCGAGCGCCTCCCCGTGCCTTGGCTGCTTGGGCAGGAGTGCGCATTGGAAATCTTTTATAGCACACAGATCGCATAGCTCGAGACTGGGCTGCGACTGTGACTGCAGTGCTGGCTGGCTGACTGCCTGGCTGGCTGGCTGGCTGACTGGCTGGGCCTAACATATTTTGTTTGATGATGATTTTACAGCTTAAAACGAATTTTATGAGCATATGCCATTGTTTTGAGTTATTGTGAGAAATTTTGTGTGGCATGGCCTAAACTGCGGCCCCCGCAGCCAAACAGGATCAGCAGCAGGATGCTGACGCTAAGAGAAGATAGATAGAAAGGGGGCGGAGGTGGGGCGCGGTAGATGTTGTGCGGAGCTGGGCAACGCAAGTGATACACATGTTTAGCTGGATGGCGACATCAAATTGCAATGCAGCTTGTAAACAAAGCGACGGGCTCCAACTACATCAGTGAGTGCTTAATGGCTGCCCACAACAACAACAGCAGCAACAACAACAATAGCTACAACAACAAACTTGTCTAGTCTTTAGTCTTAACAGTAAATTCGTGGAGCCAAAAACTAAAATTCAGCAGCCGCCCAGCAATATAAGAGGCACTGCCTCCTCTTCGACAGCCTGTTGGCTACTCCAGTGCCAGTGCCTGGGACAGTGCCCGGGACAGTCGTATCTTCGTGCCCACAGATACACTTTGTTAATTGAAAGCCATTAAAGGTAATTTTATGGAAGGCGTTAAGCCATGAAACGTGTAACATGACCATTGACATGGCCAACAAGTGAGCGAGGGGTGGGGAGGGAGGCCATCGTATGGCATCGGACTAACAACTGCGAGTGTCATGAAGTGAAGCGCAACTTGCCGCATTTGGTGGCATGTTCTGCGCTTTTGGATACTTTGCTTTACAAGTGGTAACAATTCTTGTTGCCCTTTTTTTGCTCCATTTGATTCAAGTGCCATGGAATTTGTTTCGCTTGTTCCAAAGCATTTGGCGGTGTAGCCGAGGCTTGAAGTATTTAGCATTTGTATATTGGATAGATCATAAAGATGTTTACGAGAGAAAAGCACACAGAAGAGTCAAGAGTTTCAGGAATCGGAATATCTTAGACAATATAATACTATATTATAGTAATCAGTAGAGTGCAAAGTTACTCATCATTTCTTCATCATTATATAGATCATTGTCTTTTATTTGAATACTTTATACACATTTATTTCGATAATTTCAAATATGCTTCACAACAAGTTTTCTTCAGTTCTTAGAATATATTTATTCATTTGTTTACCATCCATCTTTACAGGCTGCAAATCGTTCTTCAAGCGCTCCGTGCGACGCAATCTCACATATTCGTGTCGGGGCAGCAGAAACTGTCCCATAGATCAGCATCATCGCAATCAATGCCAATATTGCCGCTTGAAAAAGTGCCTCAAAATGGGCATGCGACGCGAAGGTAAGTCCACCCTATATAGCGCATATAGTATACCTATGTAGCCATACTGTGATCAGCGAAATTTCTTGCATTGGCTGTGGGTCAATTAAAAGTCAAACAGTGAGGCAAATACATAAATAAATTAAATGCGCCGAGACCGAAGGCGAGCACTCAGAGCAAGCAGCAACTACACTGCAAAACGGAAGTAGAGCACAGACTGCGAGCGAATTCAAATTTGATTTGGTATCGCATGTGGGTTACGTGCGATCCAATAAATGGGACAACTAAATGTCAGATGCTACGAATTTGCACTCAACACACGAGTGACAAGTGTGGGCTGCTCTCCTTTGGCTGCTGCGGCAGTGCCAAGTGGTCTGCCAAGGAATGTGCCACTTGATGATAGGCCGAAACTCGAAGAACCTTAGCGAAAAAACGGGTCATGCCTCAAAATAGCGCGCAAGAAACAGCTGTTATATCACGAGACTCGTCGTACCTATCTCAAGAAAAGCTAGCACTAATAAAATTTACAGTCTTCTCTAAATCTACATAAGACTTATACTGTCAGAACTGTTAGAAATCCTAATCAAAGTCTTCTAAATAACTTAATAACTGCCGTCTATTAATGACATTATATGACTAGCGCTCAATTAGCTATCCATTCATTGTCGGACTGCATTGCATATCAAACTCCACATGACATTTAGTCCAGTTCCATAACTACAGTGAAACCAGCTCAAAGAGCCAAGCATATGCGACAAGGTACATCAACTAGAGCATACCCTATAAATAGGCAGCTTAACATATCCAAGAAACAGTTGTGTTAGCAGCTCTCGCATGGGCTCATCATGCCCGCTAGCCACACTTTTATGATCACAGGGTATACAAAATAACAATTAAGCTATGGCTGCAGCATATTGACCCCAAAGATCAAATGCAAACTTGTTCGCTCGTTGGTTAATAATTAAAACTGAATGAGTAAAAAAAAAAAAAAATACACGAGTACTCGAATAATCGAATACGCGAACAGTTGGAATACTTGAATACTTGAATGCATGAATAGTTGAATAGTTGAATTAGGAATTAGCTCGATATTGTAATTTGTGTGTCGACACTTTTTTCTGTCCATGGCGCTGGCTCAAATGATTTATTAAAGTTAATTCGATTAGATCTAGTGGCATACACTGGCAGAAAATAATGGGCTAACGAGCCGCAGCATTGACAGCCTAATCACAGAGCTGGGCTGGCTAAATAGGAAGACGCAAAGTATATGCAATCTGTCAAGTATATGAGAAATTTTCGGTAATTTCTTGCAGTGCACGAGCTGACTTAATCGAAGGTAGCATGCAACAGCGCAAATATTTGGCATAGCTGGGCCACAAATGCTTTGTCCACAAATTGGCAAACGACGACAAATTGACAGACGCCACAGTGAATCGATCAATGAATGACTGACTGACTGACTGATTGACTGACTGACTGGYTTGGGTGACTGCTTGACTGCTTGGTCGCTTGCTTAGTTGCAGTTGTCGGCATTAACAATTAACAACTGTCTGGCGGCAGATATACATATTAATATATATGTCTCTATAAACATACATATATATATACTGAGAAAGAGAGAGCGAGAGAGCGAGAGAGACCTGTCCAGCTGCTGCACAAAGCTGTTATTATTTGCACTAATATTGATAGGTTTTTCGCAAAATGCTAATAGCTGCTGCTGCTGCTGCTGCTGCTGCTGCTGCTGCTGACGACAGCAGATGTTGTCGCTGCTGCAGTGATTTGGGTTAAGAACGAGGCAATTAAAATGCAGCTACAGACACCGCCATTGTAATTAAATGTATCTAAACATTGATTTAAGCGCGGCTATTGCGCAAATGAAAATATTAAACGAATATTTGCTTATAGCCAAAACAAGAAAAAAAAAACAAAAAATGAAATACACATGTCTAAATTCACGTTCGTTCTTCATAGCTCTGGCTAGGCCCAGTACCAAATGCTGTTTGTGGCTAATGAAGCGGGCTGTGAACCCAGGTGTGGGCTACCTGTTTGGTCATTAAGCATGCGATTACCTGTAGCTCTGCCACTGACAACAACTTGTCAACTTCATCATAATAAAACGCAAAAGAGTTCAGCACCTTTTGCCCCCTTCTCCACATGGCATTTCCTAATGTACAAGTTCTGCGTAAAAACTAGTTCACAATTGCCCAAAACCTATATCAGAGCTGAGAAATCGTGAGAAAATGTCTTTTCTGCATAGAATTTCAGTACGTTTCTTTCGTTTTTTTTCCTCCTTCCTTTTGGGCGCTACTTAGCATAAAAGCAGCACAAAGGTTATGCCTCGGCAGACCTGGTCAAGCAATTCTACAGCGAAAAACCCGAAAAAGCGCATAAAATCAAGGCACGAAGGTCGCTCTAATTAAATTGCAGTGTCAATTGGACGGGGTGGACTGGGCTGGACTGGACCCGGGCTGAGGTTGGGTCACCGAACTGGACAACAAATTGAGCCGAAACTTGTTTCGGCCCAAGGGTTGAGCCAGGGAAATTAATTTCTGTTTATAAAAGCACTTTTTTATATAAATTGTTCCTTTGGCAAGCAAAAAGAAATAAAACTACAAGAATTTATAGTAAAAATTGAACTTGAAGTGATGAAACTGGTCGCAAAGCTACAGCAACGAGGGTTGAAGTGGGCATTGTTCAGTCAGTGGGTTGATCGAGAGATATGTGATGTAGGATTATCAGGAATCTTCATCTTATGATTGAATATAAAATAGGTACACCTCAAAATTGAAAATTCAAATAAACAATATATGGACTTTGTTAATAGAAAATCCGTTGTGGATCCCCTTTTGAAATTTTATAATATTTTATATTATATACATATATTTTAAATAAAATCAAAGTTTACTTCAACTATGAATATTTATATTTAAAAAATAAAATAATGCTTGGAGGTATAATTATAATTACTTTTTAGACTCTATACAACAGCAACAACAACCACCGTGAAGTACTAAATTAAAAGCGAGGCAAATACTCAAAGCGCGCATTTGCATAGAGTGAAAGGCTTTTCGAACCTGAGGCCGGAAATGGCATTTTCGCAGATGCATCGAGCCCTTGGGGCACGGATTTGGACGGATTGAGGCTGTCAGAGACTTTATCCACTTGACCACAATTAGCTGCGAGCCACTTGGACACGCGCTCGAGTGTTGTTGCCGTGATGACTTGTATATCGTTTATCGATTACATAAGTGCGAGGCCTCCAAAACAATGAGCAACAAAAGCGCAGCAGAGACTTGAGCACGTGCTGGCCCACAGAATTCATTCATTAAGTAATCAAGCCAAGCAGACGCCGCTGCTCCACTCACTCACTCTTCTCACTCTTCTTGTTTTGGATTGTTGTTGCTGTTGTTGTTGTTGTTGTTGTTGTCGTTACTGCTGCTGGCTGCTGCGTTATCTGCTAAAGTCGTTGGAGTTGATCTGCTCTGAGCTGCGCTGAGCTGCAGTTGCGGTCAGTCTGGCAAGTTTTTGAGTCACTGTGGTCAGTGTGGAATATATATTTTCCCAGGCGCATAAATAAGCCTCGGCTCAGCCACTATACAGGAGCGACAGAGACGACGGTCGTAGACTCCAAGAGAGAGTGAATGAGTGAGAGACCGGTTTGCAGCGTCTTCTGCCCTTTCTGCCTACTAGCCTGCCAGCCTACCAGCCTGCCAGCCTGCCAGCCTGGCTGCCTGCGTAGATCCGTTGAGGATCAGCCGTGCTTTGCCTGCGCAAATTACGCAAATGTATTTCATAAATAATTGTCTCGTCCGGCGCTGGACAGTGGTCAAATCTTTGGCAGTTCCGGTTCTGCAACCCCCTCGTGCACTTAATTGCTTGCGTAAAGCAATAAACAAATACCCTACCCTAGTCCAAGTGCTCCTCGCTCCGCATGTTGCTCTTTGGATTTTTCATTTGTCTGCTGACCAAAAATGCTTTCGCTTTTCGCTTGAACAAAAGACGTTACTTTTGCCTAGACAGCTGTGTGCGTATGTATGTGTGTGCATGTGCATGTGTGTGTGTGTGCCTTAGACAATGGCTGTGCCGAACACTTGGCCCGATCAATAATCATGTTTGGCTTTATTTGCTTTTCAGCGCCTTGGGCCAAACATTTTTGCGATATTTTTATTTTGATTACTTCCATTGAAGCCCAGCCTGTTGCGCCAGCTCCTCGAGTGGGGTTAGGTGTGGTGCATATGACTCCGTCTAGGTGTGTACCTCATATTTGAAGGTGTAAAAAAGCCTTTGCTAACCCACATTTGCCAACAACACTCAAGCATCAACGCGCAAGGCTCCATTGTTTTTTATTTCCACAAAAAAATTTATATAAAATAATATTTGTATCGAATGCGTTTGGCCAAGCCCCTAAAAAATTGTCTCGAGCTGTGTTTTGAACCTATGCAGGTGTAACTTTGTACCTATAACTAATGCAAGGGAACTTTGCAGTTCAAAGTTCAGAGACTAGGCATGCGGCTATACCAAGAGCGCACCCTAAAAACAACTTGACTTGAGAGCAGAGTTTTTCATGAAAACTTTCAATTCTTAATGAATTTCGTGTTGGATTGAAGCTATCTCAGATCATCGAATCTCATTCTTGATAATAGTCAATTGATGTGGAGTTATCTTAGTAATAATTCTTAGTAGACTTGCATACTCAGTTTCCTTTGGGCCCATTTCTATGCCGCTCAGCTTCTAAGTGCTTACAAGGCTCAGCTCTTGTCTTCATTTGCCTCTCTACTCCGTAAACAGTAATCTCTCAATCTCTCTCTTTCTCTTTCATAACCTGTCTCTCTTTCTGATGACAGGATTTGCTCGGGCGCAACTTTTGAGTAAGTCTAACCACAACCTCTAAGTAAAAGCTCTTTCCCTTACATCATTCGAAGAGCTAATGGTTTGTCTGTCTCTTTCGCACACATCTGTCTCGCTTCTATGCTCGCCTGAGCTGAGCTTTTGGGCTCGATTCGAACAGCTGTTGGCTGGCATTTGACTAACTTTTCGCTTTCGCTCTGTTTACACATTTTAGGCTTAAATTTTGCTTAACACACACACATACACAAACTCTCACGTGCTGTTGTATCTTAAAAGATGCGTTGAGAGTATTTAGTTGAATTTGCATATCTAAGCAGTTGTGGCAACAAGGGGGTTGCAAGGGACAACGACATTGAAATTATGTTGAAGAAAAAAAAGAAAATAAAGAAAAGGGTTTCAGGGTAGGCTCAAGGTAGTCGCAGCCGAGAAAAGTATCTTATGACGTTGTCGGCCGCTGAACAAAAGGGCATCGCAGCGTCTAGGAGAGTGCGACTGAGATTGAGGTGCCCGATAGGCATTGTGCGTTGTGGCAGCTTTGCCAACAACGCTGAATGGGGCAACATTGTGTGGCGTGTGATGTCGCGGTCAAAATAAGCGCACAAAAGAGCGCGCATATTGAATTACTTGGCTACAGATACAGAGATACACAGATACATAGTTACACATACACGCATACATATACATTCCCTAATGCAGATTCACATACTAATTCTCTCTCTCTCTCTCTTTCTGACTCTTTGCAGCTGTTCAGCGTGGCCGCGTGCCGCCCACACAGCCCGGCCTAGCTGGCATGCACGGCCAGTATCAATTGGCCAACGGCGATCCAATGGGCGTGGCYGGTTTCAATGGGCACTCGTACCTCAGTTCCTACATCTCGCTGCTGCTGCGCGCCGAGCCGTACCCCACATCCCGCTACGGCCAGTGCCTGCAGCCCAACAATATCATGGGCATTGACAACATCTGCGAGCTGGCCGCACGGCTGCTCTTCTCCGCCGTCGAGTGGGCCAAGAACATACCCTTCTTTCCGGAGCTGCAGGTTACCGATCAGGTGGCACTGCTGCGCCTTGTCTGGTCGGAGCTGTTCGTCCTGAATGCCAGCCAATGCTCGATGCCACTGCATGTGGCGCCGCTGCTGGCTGCCGCCGGCCTGCACGCCTCGCCGATGGCGGCGGATCGCGTGGTTGCATTCATGGATCACATACGCATCTTCCAGGAGCAGGTGGAGAAGCTGAAGGCGCTGCATGTCGACTCGGCCGAATACTCCTGCCTCAAGGCCATTGTGCTCTTCACCACCGGTAAGTTGCTGGACATCCTGTACAAGGATGTGCCCGCACTGCTAACCAAAGTTTCAGCACTGCTCGGCAGGCGTGTGGATGCTGGCAGCTCCGCTGAGTGCAGCCACGATGACGTCATTGCTGTGGTGCGCGAACATCTCGATGAGCTGAATCGCTCAGAGTTTGAGACGCACCTGCAGCAGGCGCCCATCCACCTGGCGACCTTCATGAAGAGCGTGGCTGGCGTTGAGGCCGCAGTGCAGCAGGCAGAGCAGCTGCAGTTGCAGCACCAGCAACAGCTCCAGAACCAGCAGCAGCAGCCATCGCAGACTGCCAGCCAAGCTAAGAGCGATCCAGGTGCTGCTGCTCCTGCTGTGCCCGTTGTGCCCTCTGCCGGCAGCGCTTTCAGCAGCTGCGCCAAGTCCAGTGCCAATGCCAATGCCAATGCCAATGCCCATGCTGAAGTCGATCTGCTTACCGCGCTGTATGCCAGCTCCAACGGCAACGCCGGCGGTGGCAGCGGCGGCAGCAGTGGCGATTCGAGCGGCAACAGCAGTGGCCTGGGCGCCTCGCTGCCCACCCAGCCCTCCCACCACAGCGCCTCATCCACACACAATGCCAGTGCCAATGCCTCACCCACTGCTTCCGCATCCGCATCCGCTGTTGCCCCCGCCACGAGCAGCTCGCTGGCTGGAGCATATCAGACGCCGGCGGGCATGTTCTATCAGACGCCGCCGCGCAGCGCCTTCGGCTCGGCCTTTGATATGTTCCATCACAGCACGCCGTTCGGCGTTAGTCATGCGGCGGCGGCAGCGGCTGCAGCGGCTGCTCACAGCGGCAGCGGCGCCAGCTTCGGCAGTCCCAGCTATAGATATTCGCCATACAGCCTAGCGGGCAGTAGATGGCAGCTGTAGATCCCGCCTCCCTAGCTCCTAGCCACCCGCCCACCTTAAGAATCTCAGTTGTTCAGTTTAGCCAGCTAAACCGTTGGGCTTAGATTATGTAACTGTAACTTATCTATTTATCTATGCCGTACTTAAACTATGTATCTACTGTAAAGTTAAATTTAGTGCCTATTGCTTATGTATTTATTGCCTTAGTCTAAGTCCTAAATTATTTTAGCCGTAATCTAGTTTAGCGAACAACTTTACCAAAAATCCATACGAACAAAGATAGAAGAAGCTGAAGCGAGAGGAGTAGAGAGAAGTTGAGAATATACGCTGCTGTTGCTGTTAAACAAAAAATTAATCCTAACCTGTGTTTTTACTCATTCCATTTGTTACTAATTCTTTAAGCTGTTGTTAACTAGTTCTAAGCGTTTTATTTTTGCCCTTTTCGTTTTTTTTTTTCGTTTCATTTAATTATTTTCTTTTATTTATTTCGGTTTAGTTGAGAACTAACAACGATTTGTGGCTTGGTTACTAACCTTCAATTTAAGATACTTTGATTAACGGTTTCCACAGTAGATTCGATTGGAGCAATCAATTGAATGAATGCTTCAAGCGAAAATTCCAAAAATTGAAAGTATTTATTTAAATTATTTTGAACAAACTCAATATATTTAACAACCATAGAAAATTGCATAGCTGCTTTTAAATACTAATTAATATTTCGGAAAATATTTTTATTGAATTATTTACTTTTCTGTTTATCTATTTCTTATTTAACTGTTTGATAGTCTTTGTTTTGATTTTTAGTTGCTTTTAATAATTATTACATTAATATTATATTTTTTGTGTTTTCAAAAAAAAATTTCTTTACTTTCTAATTTTAATTTCAGTAAGTAAAAAAAAATTAGAAAGTCTTGAAATTTTTTCCCTGTTTACAATTATTTTTCATATTTTTCACATTAAAAAAAATTCTTTACTTTCTGATTTTTAATTTTTTCAAAACTTTTTATTTTTATTTATTTATTAATTTTTTTATTTTATTCATTTTTTTGTTTCCAAATATTTATATTCATACAATCAATTCGTTTCAATATCATTAAATTTGTATTGACTCAATGGTATTAAAACGAATTGATTGTCCTTTGCTGAACACAAAAGTTTATAAATTTCAGACAAAAATATTCTTTTGCTGCGAAACCTTAAAATGATGAAAAAGAAAAAAAAAAAAAAAAAAAAAAAAAAAAAAAACAAAAATAAAAAACAATTACTGATTAAGGTCTCGAGCAAAGTGGAAATTGTTTATGAATTGGTAATTGAAAAAGTTTCATAATATAATAACCGATTCATAAGACAATTTATATAAAATAGAAATCTATGAAAGCAGCTAGTTTGGAATCTTAAAATAAAAATTTACTAGCTGCTTTCATATATTTCTAAACTGCACTCGATTTATATTTTTCGTTTACTAATTTTGCATTTTTATTTCTAAACAAAAGCATCAAAAAACCACAAAAAGCAGCTACGCACACATATACACATATGGCACACACGCTCTGGACTTTGGAAACAAACACACACACTTATACGCCTAACACACACACATGCATATACCCATTCATCCATATAATAAGCATTTACATAAATATTAAACTTTTCCAACTAATATGGCACATGGCTTAATTTTTAATGTTTGTTAATGTTTGTTTTTAACTTATTTTTATTTATTTATTTATTTTCGTTTTCAAATGAAATAAATTTCAAAATATTTGTATGCAAATATTAACTGTTTGAACCATAAACGCTGCATATTTATTTTATTTAAGTTAAGGCTAAGTAGAAGCTAAACTAAGTCTAAGTTTCCCTCTAAGTTGAGGCTGAGCCGATGGAGCAGCTGTTGCTCTGTCTGACACGCTTATCTGCCCATTGTCCATTTACAGTGGCCAAATAATGCAGCGATGCATTCAACTGCAACTCAAGCGGAGTTTAGCTCCGCTTTACCCCTTCGACACGCCACCCGTGAGTGTGTGTGTGTGTGTGCGAGTGAGCAGCTTGGCCCGTTCGTTTTGTCAAGCAGCTGTCCTCGATCTGCGACACTGACTGCACACAGCACACAGCACAGAGTCCCCTCTCCCCCGCCCGTTTGTAGCTGGCGACGTTTATTGACGTCGAGATACCACATTATGAACATTAATACAACACTCGTTTATGTCGCTTACTTACAAGCCGCAACGGCTGCTCCTCGGCCAGGTCCAGGTCCAGCTCGATCTAGCCACAGCCACAGCCACAGCCACAGCTATAGCCATGAAAATAATTTTCCAATTTCCAAAACGCTGTGTGTGTCGAGTTTTGGGCTTTTCTGGGCTGGGGTCCATTGTGAGGGGGCGTCGCGAGTTCGTGTTGCCTGAGCTGCGGCTCCAACTTCGACTTCTACGTCGACTCCGAGTTCGACTCCAGCTCAGCCTCTTGTGCAGCGCAATTGCATTTGAATTGGCTGCATGAGTCCATAAACTGCAGCCGATCAATCGCTGCAGCGCTTGAGCTCTGCTCTGTCCCCCCTCGGTGATAGACACGATCGCAGTAGTAAAATACCGGGTATAGACTTAGTAGATCTTCTGCCTGGTGCCTTGCAGCCAGGCGGCGGCACGTTGACGACATGTCTGCCCAAGCTCTCGGTGGTGCATCTTCCAATCTGGTTGTGGCCACGTCCATGTACTGCCGCATCGCACCACCACCCGCTCCACTCTTGCTCCACACGCTCGCTGCCTGATTGCTGTCGTTTGTTGCAGTTGTTAAGAGTTGTAGCTTTCATGTCTTAGCCACACTTTTTGACCAACATTTTGTGTTGGTTTTAGCTCTGGCCAACCTTTGCGCCTTGGCTCTGCCAATGTCTGTGTCTGAGGCTGCGGCTGCGGCTGCGGCTGCGGCTGACTCTGAGTTTTTCTCTGCTGATGCCCAAATCGTTTTGTGGGTGCTCATTGATCGCCTGCGCTACTTTCCGAAAATTGCCACAGACGTGCCTTTGTGCCTTGTAATTAACAGTTTCGTACACTGAGACCTCTCTTTGATCAGAATCATTTTTTGGGCGCGTTTTAGCTTAACCTCTCTTTTCTTTTACCCACTCGCTCACAGCTGAAATGTTCAATCAGTTAAGCTTAGATACAAGATTCAGCCTCGATCAAACTGTCGAGATATTCAATTTTCTTTGGCAAAACAGGCTAAGGTCTAGCCTAACAATATCAATTGAATGTACTTTATAATAAAGGTTATGTTTGGCGATTTTTTTTTATTAAAAAATATTCTAAAAATTCCTGAGCAAGTTTTAATTTTTAAAGGAAACTTCTATACAAATTTACTTAATTCTGAGCTTTATAGGGTTTTTGAAATATATAAAAAAAAGTGTAGATAATATAAATAAATTTATTTCATTTTCAAAATATTTATTTTATTTACATACCTCAATTTCGGTATACTTTCCCTTTGCAAAGGAATGATTGTGCTATTTCATATACCACTCCCTTGCAACTTAGCCATTTCTCCGCCTCTTCTGTGAGCTCCTCCAGAACTATGTCACCAAGCAAATACCTGCCACTTTTATGTTGCATTTCTTGTCAATTTTCGGCGAACAACAACTCTTACAAATGGCGCTCGATTATAAATTCATAGCTGACCCCACATGAACCCAGCCCAAAGGCTCGAACCATATCTGCGGGAATTTGTCTTGTTGCCGTATATTTTCCCCCTTGCATTTTCCTAATGCTTATTAAAACTAAATAAAGTTATAACTGTTACCAAAAGCAGACACGAAGTCCAACAACGTACTAGTTGCTGCCCATAAAAACTATATAATAAAATATAATGCAGCAATTCATAATTTTTGGTTAAACAGCTTAACCTTTACTTTGGTCCGATTTGTGGATGGGGGGAGGAGGGGGCGGAGCCTGTGCCACGTTCTTGTGTGACCAAAAAAAAGCAACAACAAAATCTGCTCCTTATTCGATATGCATGTTGTTGTAACTGCATTTGCTGTTATTGTTGCTGTTGTTGTTGTTATTGGCAGCACAATTCGGTTACGTAGTTACATCAACTACTTTACGGTCATTATGCATTTAAAACACGCGGTCACGATCTCCGCGCTGAGTTAGTAACTGCGCAGAAGGCAGCCCAGGCAGAGGTCCAACCAAAAGCCCAAAAAAAAAAAAAAAAAAATACAAAAACGAAAACCAAAACGAAAAAATCAAAGCCAAGTTGAGCCATAGTTATAGCCGCAGCCCGTTGCAAACGCCCGAGAAAGCTGCAGCCCGCTTCGGCTTCGGGCCGCATTTCTTTTGCCCAAATTCACAAACTGGAATTTCTTTCACTCCGTCGTCTTCTGCTGCATTTCAATGAAAATAAAATTTGTGCTTGACTGGCTTATTGATTCGAATTGTAGCCAGATATTTTTGGTTCAGCTTCTTCTTCTTCTTCATCTTCGTCCTCTGCTTCTCATGTCCTCTGGACTCGTTTTCTTTTATGATATTCGTTGTCGGTGCCTGGGCTCCGGATCATCAAAACCTAATGGCCAAAGTCAATTGACAATTATTGACCATGGCCAAGTGAAATGATTCGCTCAGCTTTTCAATCCCAACTGGCCAAATCTAATTTGTAACTTCACGATTATTGGCCCAATGGCCGTTGTTGTTGTTGTTGCTGGTTGTTTATGAAATGAAATGGTTAATAATGGCTAATTGAATTTCTGTTGCCTTTGGCGACAAATCATTTATCTTGATTTACGCGCATTGTGTGGCTGGAGGCTGCCTTTTAGCCAGCATCACAGTTAACGTTCAGCTTTGTTTATGATTTGTTTACTTTGTGGGCCTGGAACTGGAAATGGCCTAAATGAAAGCCGAGCGTGCAGCATGGAGAGTTTTCTTACTTGTCACAGTCCCGCTGCATTTTGCCGTCTCGCTAAATTACTTACTTACTGCACCGTGACTCAGCTCAAAATTCCTTGAATTTATATGCAATTTTTTTTATTGATATTTATTCAGTTTTGCGGCATATTAAAGCTTGACTATTCACTTAGCAAACGACAGAAAACTAGTTAAATGCATGTAAACATTTTTTAAGAATTTTAAATTTGTTTATTATTGCACTTTACAATGCAGAGGCATGTATCGACTGTTTATACAGATTCATAAATGAATAAATTTTAATTAAAAAAAAAAAAAACAAAATTTATATTAGAGAAAATTAATTAAATTTAAGTTTATGAATGTATATTGCAATATTTAATATTTAAAAAAAATAATGATTTTTAGCTCAGCTTAAGTTTTCCTCAGGACAACAATTAGGTATTCTAAATTCAATTCTGGGAGAATATTATGAGCTAAGACCTTATAAAATAATTTAATAATTGGAACTTTTAGCACTTCATTAAATGAAATAATTTAAATATTGAAGTAATTTAAGTATTAAGAAACCAAAGCACCAATATATTTCAGAGTTATCTATGCATTAGTCTGCATAGAAGATCAATAGCTACATTTTTTAACTCCCGCTAAATATATCGCCGCATATCTTTATGAGCTGCTCAAACGACTATAGCAAATTTTAATCGCATAAGCGCGAATATGTTAGCGATCAGTTAGTTTTGCCACCAGAGGAGTTAACTCTAATGAACCTATTGCCAATTTGTTTGACTCATTTTACATTTTGGCTCAATGTATTGGCTTTCCATTGACAGCTGGCAAGCAGAAGTGGGCTTGCGTGCAGCTAAAGACAGCTACAGCGACGACCAATCCAAATGCATAATGAAATTCAAAGAGCTGAAATGCGAGACGTTTAAACGACACATTACGTCCCATAGCTGGCATTTTGCAATGCAATGCAATGCAATCAAATTCGAATTCAAATTCAAATTCGACTTCAACTTTGAATTCACACTGCAATCGGATACGTTTGACGACGAGTTGGACACCCAGCGATGGCCAAAACACCAAAATCACCAAATGGCCAATTCATTAAACCGCAAACCAGCTGTGCGCCAGCCAACAAGAAGGGAAAGAAGAAGAAGAGAAACTGTTATAAATGCCACTTGTAAATTTTGCGTAATGTGCAAAAGATACTTTATGTATGTTTACATTTTGTTGCTTTGAGCTAAAGATACTTTTTGCTTGCTGACTAATTAAGTAAATGGAATATGAGCATCCATTTGAGAATACTTCAAGCTATGCAAATTTACAAGTGCTGATGTCTAATTTGAATTTCAAATAGGCGCAGCACCACAAACATATACATTTATACATATATATACAGCTCGTGTGTGCACAATTTGTTGTTGTCCGGCAATACTTGAAAACAGGCATAGATACACACACGAGTATATATTGATAAGCAAACTTTTGTGTCGCTGGCAATTAACACGTGACGGCACACGCTGCGTATGCGCAATGTCTTTAGCTCTAACAACTAGTCAACAACACAGAGAAGAAATCCCCTCAGCCACACCCCCAGCCCCCTCTGCGTCCATGCGTCTTGTTTATGGCCTTTGTCTAGAGGGGCGTTGCCGTTCAGTTTAATTTTCGTAAATTTAATTAAACGGCCTCTTGTTCGACTTTGAGTCCAAGTCCTCAATTGGACATAAATCATGTGAGTGACGTAATTCCGTCATGTGCCATTTTCTAGCTACAGTTATTATTATTATTATTGATGTTGTTGTGTGTGGGCGTGGCCTTAAGCTGACGCTGGAAACCCATTCGCTGGATACGTATTTCGCGACAAGCACCAGGTGAACTGCATAGGCTCACAGACCATTTGCCTCTATAGGGAATTGCTCGTAGCTCGAGGTTTTCAATATTAAATGAATGTTTCTTATTATATTTTTTTAGATGCGTGCGGTCTGTCGGATGTGACACACATTGAATCCCTGCAAGAGAAGTCTCAGTGCGCCCTGGAGGAGTATTGTAGAACGCAGTATCCCAATCAACCCACGAGGTTCGGCAAATTGCTACTCAGATTGCCATCGTTACGCACCGTCTCCTCACAAGTAAGTAGAGTCTGATGAATAATCTGTGACAGATTAGAATATAGATTAAATTATAATAATTGAGCTCGAGCTATGCCTCAATTTTTTAGCAGCAATACTTATGCACATTTTCTATTCTGTTTTTCCTTTTGTCTTTTCAATTAACCAGGTCATTGAGCAGTTGTTTTTTGTGCGTCTAGTCGGCAAAACGCCAATCGAAACACTGATACGCGACATGCTGCTGAGCGGCAACAGTTTCTCTTGGCCCTATCTGCCTTCGATGTGACACACAATGTGGCGCCAATTGACAACAACTTGATCATCAGCCGCAGCTGTGGCGGCCGCTGTGGCAGCCAATCATAGCAGCACTACGCTCAACATCAATCCCTGCAACAACATCACTAGCAACAGCAACAGCAACAGCAACGGTAACAGCAACAGCAACATTGGCGGCGTCATTGGCGGTGGCTGTGGGGGCATTGCTGTTGCTGGCAATCACAGCCACGAACACAGCAATGTTGCTGCCATGCATGCAACATATGGCAACGGCGGCAACAACTGCGGCAACAGCATCCACAGCGTTTGCAATCAGCAGCAAATCAGCAACTACACCAACAGCAACAGCAACAGCAACAGCAACAACATCAACGGCAGCAACAACAACAGCAACATGAGCTCCAGCGGTTTGCTTGGCGCCGGCTACAGCAACGATTATATGGCCAATGCAACAGCGGCTGCTGCATATGTGACACCAGCAACCGCAGCCGCAGCGGCAGCAGCAATTGCAACAACAACAACGATGCCAGCGGCAGTGAACACAACAACAATGCTGTCTAATTACTGCGATGCTGCGACTATGATGATGGCCGCGGCCGCTGTCAATGCAAATCAGTGCCTGCAACAACACCACCAGCGACTGCTGCTGGCCAGCAGCAGCAACAGCAACAGCAACAGCAGCAGCAATAGCAACAGCAACAGCAACAGCCATGAGCAACTGGCCACGGCAGCGGTCACGGCCCCCGCCTCCTCGTCCTCGTCGTCAGCGGGCTCGCTGTCATCGGCATCGTCCACACCGAAAGCGACGACCGTCGCGACAGCCCAGCAGCAACAGCAAGAGCAGCAGCAACAGCAAGAGCAGCAGCAACAGTCGCTGCCATCGCCGCCAAATTTAATCGATATCAGTGAAGTTCCTCTCATTGTGGATGTCAAGTAGTGTAATTATTTATGCATATTGAAAAAAAAAAAAAAAAAAAAAAAAA